TGTCTGTTTTTCTGTTTGATTGGTTTTTGGTCTTTCAAGACAGGTCTTATCTGTGTAGCCCTGGCTATCCTGGAACTCGCTTTGTAGACCAGGCTGGTCTTTTAGTCAGAGATCTGCCTGCCTCTACCTTAAAGGCATGCATTACCAGCACCTGGCACCATGTCCTGTTTTATACTGTGCTGGGGATGAAATCTAGGGTTTTGTGCGTTCTAAGCAAGAACTGTGCCAACTGAGTTACATCCTCAGGCTTGTTTCTGACCCTTGAAAGAGTACTTGACCCGGAAGGGGGAAGGAACCTATTGAGATTAGTCTGCTGAGATCCACATCCAGGCCTCCAGCCCCTCATCCTTCAGGCCCCTTCTCTCCCTTAACCATACCCTCTTTGTTCCCCACTGAGGGGGAGGCGGGGTCTGGAGGGTCTAGAAGGCCCAGGAGGTGGGCAGCTGCAGGAGGAGGCTGCAGAGACAAGCCCTAGGTTTGGAATTACATAGATCCCACGTAGCTCTCTCCCTGACTGGTCAGAGGGAAAGGCTCCAGGCACAGAGGGTCACCTCTAGGAAAACACCTGCATCTCCAGGCTGCCCACCCTTCTCTTCCCCTCCCCCACCATGTGGGTTTGTTTTCCTGCAATTTTACAGACAAGGGATGAGGAGTGTCTGCTGATTATGCCAGATACACGATACCGCAGGTTTGTCAGAACTCCCAGGATGGCCTCCTCTGCACTCAGCTCTTCCGCCTCGGCAGCCCAGCCCCTCAGAGTGCTTCCTACCACGGGGATGAGATCCCTGCTGCTGGGTGAGCTTCTGGAGCCCATGTCCTAGGGACACCCCCAAGGACTCTGAACCCAGAAAACAGTCTTCATTTATTTTTTTGCTTTATTCCAGCCCTGTCGGGAGCAGCCCTGCTTATACCCTGAAGGCCTAAAATTAGCCATACGCCTAAAATCAGCAATAGGCCTGACATACATGCCTGCTAGCACCAAGTCTTGGGTCTCTGTGGAAAAACACTGAAACAGATGGCTGGAAGTTATTGTAAACAAACAGCTTTGGTAGAAGGCTGCCAAGCCTGGCTACTCATAGGCCTTGTAAGATAGGTAACCTTGGTGGATAGTACCAACTTAGATAAAGACAAGTGACTCATAGGCGGAGTCATAGTGGTCTATCCCCTGAACCTTCACCCAGCTGACACTCTGTTCTGGAAGATATCTATACTCCCCCTGAACAATCTATATTCCCCCTGAACACCCACATTCCTTCGTCATCCCCTTCCCCACATCCTGCCTTTCTGTGTATATTACCTGTGTGTGCAAAAGTAAAAATGACAATCTGATCAGATAGATTATAGACAGGTCATCATTCCTTTCGTCTTTGCCTGCTCCTCCTCCCCCCTCCCCCCGCTCTCTTTCAGGTGACCTTCCCGGACCCCTGTTTAATGTCCTGCTGGACAGGACACAGCCCCACCATCATGTTTTCTGGTCCTCTCTTAACCTTCTCACACCTTGTCAGGCCTGGCCAAGGGGTGTCAGGGGGAGATGCCCAGGGGCACAAAGTTGAGCTTGGATCCTGGGTATGTTACTGGACCCACTATCCATTTCTGCATCACTACATGAGAATAAAACAACACCCAAGAGAGGCCGGGTTCAGCGGGTGTCGTCTGGGTGACATTTTCTTCTCAATGGGACAGGAGGTAGAGCCATGTCACACAGTGTCTAACGCTCAGCACACTTGGTCTCTGCCCTTAGGAATGATTATAACTTTGAGGCCAAAGGTTTCTTACTCAGCACTACAGTTCACATAATGGATTCTTGAACCCATTTTACTATGGATGTAAACTGAGGATCAGCATCAGGCCTGCTAGAGTCAAAGGTGACACAATTGGCTCACAGAGTTCCTGATTCTTCTCACTGTTGGAATTACAGGGATGTTCAACCACATCTGCTTCAAAGGCCTCTGGATTTGTTAGGAGTAGAGGTTTCTCAACAATGGCCAGGGGAACCAGGTGTGGTGGCCCACATCTGTAATCTCAGCAGTCAGGAAGCTGGGGTAGGATTGTCATCAGTTCAAGGCCAGCCTAGGCTATCTAATGAGCTCCAGGACAGTCTAGACTTTGGGGTAAAAGCTTGTCTCCAAACCTTCCATCCCCACCCTCAGAAATAACCACACCAAACAAAACAAACTGATGCAGGCTTGGAGTTTGATGCACTTCTTCAGAAACCAATTTGACAACATCTGGCATTGCAACATCTGGTCAGCATTAGATAAGCAGCCTGGGATGTACCATGTAAAGATGTGCTAACCTTTCTGGAATAGCTCTTTGTGGCCCACCTTGATTCCATATATGTTTAACATTTCTCTGGTTTGATTCTTGTTGTTGTAGATGGGATGTTGCCACATAGCCAGGAATAACCTTGAATTCATGATTCCCCTGCCTCAGCTTCATTGTGGGATTATACTTTCTGGTTTTATGGATCCACTAAGGAGCTAGCTAGGTTGTTGGGTGGGTCAGTTATTTCTGACTTAGCATCCTGGTCCCCGAGATAGCTGTCTGCATTTTTTTTTTTTTTGAGACAGAGTTTCTCTGTGTAGCCCTGGCTGTCCTGGAACTCACTCTGTAGACCAGGCTGGCCTCGAACTCAGAAATCCGCCTGCCTCTGCCTCCCAAGTGCTGGGATTAAAGGCGAGCGCCACCACTACCCGGCGTCTGCATTTTCTTAATAGGATCCTTGACATGAAATCACAGATTTTGGAAACATACATGTCCCAACAGATGTTGTAGCTCCTTTCTTACTTTTCAATTATTTACTTTTGATTTTATCCATTTATTGTTTTTGTTTTTGTTTTTTTTTTTTTCTGAGACAGGATTTCTTTGTGTCCTGGAACTCACTCTCCTAGCTCTGCCTCCTGAGTACTGGATTACAGGCACGCACCCCTGCCGTTCGGCATATTTTGGTCTTTTTGGAGACAGGATCTCATTATAGCCCTGGCTGACCTAGGACTTGTTATACAAACCAAGATGGCCTTGAACTTGAGGTAATCCCTCCACATCCTGAGCGCTAGGATCTTAGGCACGCACAGCGGTTACAAGCTAGCCCCCCCCCACTCCTTTAAGGCAAGTCACATGCTTAACCACAGTCTTGGCCAGCCCCATAGGCCCTGAGTGTCAAGTTTATTTTTTAATTTTAGGCACTAATTTGTGTTTTAGGGTTTTCGTTATTGTTGTGAGGCAGGGTTTCACTATGTAGTCCTAGCTAGCATGGGACCCAAAGATATCTGCCTGTGCTTTGAATAAAGGTGTGTACCACCATGCCCAGCTACGGTTAAATATTTCTTTGGGGCTCAGGCAGGTTCTCAGGCAGGTTCCGTCCTGGGCCTATGGATACAATTCTGACTCTAAAATAACTTTTTCTCTCAAGCTAAAACATACTAAAAATAATTACAATATATAGTGATGAGTGTTAAAATAAATATTAATGCCAAGTGAACAGAAATGAAGCCAATATTTTTTTTTATTATTAATTTTATCTTATTCTGAGACAGGGTCTCATGGCCAGGCTGGCCTCAAACTTGGTATGTAGTTGACAGTGACCTCGAGCTTCTTGTCTTCATGCCTAAACCTCCCCAGTGCTGGGATTACAAGCCCATATCACCATGCCCTACCAAGCCAATTTAATTTGACCACTATCATTATCCTCAGGTTAGCAGTGAGACTGACTAAAAGCCTCTGATATTTTGGGTGTTTGTTTTTGTCGTTGTTGCTATGGTAGTTGTTTCTAGTTATTTCATTGTTTTGTTCTGTTTTGTTTTTTTTCATTTTCTTTCAGACAAATGTGTCTCTATAGCTCAGACTAGCCAGAGACTTTCCATGGCACATATTGGTCTCAAACGAGGGCACCGGTTTTGGACTCCTGAATACTAGAAATCCAGGTGTTCAACAGTACATCCAACTCAGAAATCCTTGCATTTTGTCCACGTCGGTGTTTCTCAACAATGGCCAGGTAGATGTGTGTCCCTCAGGAAACATTAGGCAGCATCTGGCCCTATGGCAGTGGCTAGGAACAGTGATAAACATCTTGTAAAGCGTGGGACAGCGGCCCCCAGGACTACAAACTCCAGGCCCCAGAATGACGGCATCCCTATTACAGCCTATAATTTACAGGATGCATTCCTATTAGGGAAAGCTGGGAACTTGAGAAAAAAATGTCTTAGAGGTGACAATGGTTTGTGATATTTAAGGGCCATAGTAGGTAAACTTAGGGGACCCTTCCCATTCTCTGCGCTCTAACAGTATGGCCCAAACTCCTGCCCGAGTCTTGTATTTAGCATCTCTTGTTTCCTACAGGTCCTGGCCCCTCAGTTTCCCCATCTTGGAAATGGGAGTCTTCCTCCAGAACAGCTCCGGGAAAGAAGAACCCATCAGGTTGGCTCTTGCATACAAACAAGCGTCCATGGAAATGAGGACGAGGATGGGGAATGTCCACTAAAACTGTGAGAGGAGGGCATAAGGCTAGACCGCAGAGATTGGTGACTGAAACAGTGTTTCTAACACAGCCTTTCGCCTTGTTCTTCTAGCTCACAACCCACACTCTTTGAAGAAACGCTGGCTGACAGCTCACACCCGGCAAGGTGCGCCTCAACCTGCCTCAACTCCCAACGGAAAACTTAGAATCCTTGGTTGATTAGGGCTGCTGCAGGGGAATCACCTGGTTCAAGTCGGTAGCCCCAGGCCACCGCTCCACAGAGCTCTGGAATCTCCTCTCTCCACTCCAGCATGGCTTCTCTGGGGTGTGCGGCTGCAGGTGATGTTCGCTCAAGGTGGGGAAGGGGTAAGTAGAACCCAGGAAGCCGGGCCGCTGCCGAGCAGGCACCAAAGTCAACTTTTCCCTCTGCAGCCAGCAGGTTACAGCGCCACCGGGGCTCGCAGCCACGAGTGGAGAGTATAAACTCCTGCGGGCTCAGTGCTCCTGGCCATCGTCCCTCCAGTCCCACTCATCACTCACTCACCTCCGCCATCCTCGAGTGGCCGTGGGGCCCGGGACCTCGCTTCCTCAGTGGGAACCCTAGGCCAGTGACCAGCAGCGCGGCCAGTAGCATCAAGGCGCGCGGGAGCCGCGCTCGGCCGGCCAGTGGCCGCATCGTGTCTCTGCGAGTCTGCTCTGCCGGTGCCGCCGGGTTCGGGAGCGTGTTCCCGCCCCGCCTCGCCTCCTCCTGCGGCGCAGGCTCCGTCCAGTCGCGCGGGGGCCTCGGGAGGGGCGGCGGGAGCGCGCGCTCCGGTGCGCGCGGCCGGTGAGCACCGGTCTGCGAGCGAGGTCAGTGGCCCCGATGTCTCTCCCCCTTGCCCTCCCCAAGGGGCCCCTCGGCGCTCGCGGACTCGTCCCGGCTCTGCGGGGCGGCTCCTTTGATCTGGCGGCCACCCCGCCCTCAGTCCCCGCCGCTGTCGCCGTCGCGGCCCCAAGCGAATTCCTGTCCCGGGGAAGTTGCCGCCCCGCGATGTGCGCCCCGCGCGGCCACTGCTGAGGGGCGAGGAGGCTGAGGCGCCACAGGAGCGCTCCCCGACGGCGCGGCGACAACCACCCGAACTAGCCCGGGTCTCACAGGCAGGGACGTGCGACTGACCGGAGGCGAGCCGTGGGAATCTTTGGAGCTTAGGCAAAACTGTGCGTGCAGCCAGGTAGGTTTGCGAGGGGGCTTTGCAAGTTTCCAGCGTTGCCTGGGAAGAGGAGCCCGCCGCCACATTGCGGTCCCAGCTCCCGGTCCCCTTTCAGCTTTTAGGACTGTCAAAACCAGGAGACCACACAAGCCGCAGTCCCAGAACAGCGGGTGTGGTGTGATGGGGTAAGCCTGAGTTCAGGGGTCGGAGGATCTGACCTGCAGCTGGTGTCGCTGATCGTTGGGATAGCCCAGCCCTTTCTGCCAGATCTTTGGCTTGGGTCTTTACAGCAAGCCACTGAGCAGCAACCTCTGAGCAACTAGAATTCCGGAGTTGTGGCTTAGACCAGGAATCCTAATGGTGGAGGGATGCGAATAGGAAAGAATGCAATCAAGGCGGTATCTCGTCTGGGATGGACGCAGGAGGGAGCCTGGAAGCGAACTTGGGGCCAGTAGAGAGGGTAGCCAGTATGCCTAAGCTGCAGTTTACCTCTGCTTCAGGAGTGCCTGAAGCAGAAAGGAGCTCTCAGAGCTGCGCTGGGTTTTGTTGTTGTTTTGTTTTTATTTGATCTTGTTTGTAAGTTACTCCTGCTCTCCACAGCAGCAGAATTGAATGGTGACGCGTTGGGTGACAGCCTGGGTGTGGGGGTCTAGTGAAAGGGGTTGAATACTGGCAATTTCCGCATGGTCCAACTAAGAAGATGCCTTCCTGGTACGTGATAAATATTCAAATGTTAACGAACAGAATTTTAGCCTGTGAGCGGCTTCTAAATCAAGCTGAATTTACTAATTTTTTCACATCTATCGACAATATTTTGCCATTTAGACATACTTTTGACAATTTCTACCAGATTAAATGCGACTTTGAAGATAATGAGCTTGTTCCGTCATTCATTCATTCATTCATTCATTCACGTCAATAACTGCTACTCCACTCCAAGCCACTCCCCCTGTACGCCAAGCCACTCCCCCTGGTCTGGAGGGTTCTGCTGGACCCACCTTCTGATCTCATATCACTCCCACCCTTCACTGCCATGAAAGTGATATCTTTTCTAATTTTGACCAGTTTCATTGAGGCACAGTTTACACATAATAAAATATATCCATTTTTAGGGTCTGGAGTAGCGAGTCAGTGGTTAAAAGTGCCGGTTGTCCTAATCAGCAACCACAGCTGAAGTGGTTTGATTAATTAATTAATTAATTAATTTTGGTGGTTTTTCGAGACAGGGTTTCTCTGTGTAGCCCTGGCTGTCCCGGAACTCACTCTGTAGACCAGGCTAGCCTCGAACTCAGAAATCCACCTGCCTCTGCCTCCCAAGTGCTGGGATTAAAGGCGTGCACCACCACTGCCCGGCTGATTTTTTAAAGTTTTATTTATTTATTTGTTTATTCATTTACTTTTGAGATAGGGTCTCACTATGTAGCTCTGGCTGACCTGGAACTCACAGAGACACCCCTCCCCCTCCCTACTCTACACCTCTAGTGCAAAGATCAAAGGCACTGGCCACCATGCCTGGGTCCTGAGTGGACTGAAAGAGATTGGCCCCCATAAGCACATGTTTGAATAGTTGGTCCTCACTTGGTGGAATTGTTTGGGAAGAATTAGGAGGCATGTCACTGGAGGAGAGCTTCGAGGTTTCAAAAGACTCAAGGCATTCCCAGTGTGCTCTCTGCTTCCTGTTTGTGGGTTGGTATGTGATCCCTCAGCGGCTGCTGCAGCACCAAGCCTGCCTGTCTTCTGCTATGTGCCCCACCAGGATGGTGTTAGACACTTATCCCTCTGAAACTGCAAGACCCAAATAAACCCTTCTATAAAAGTTGGTCATGGTATTATATCACAGTAACAGAAAATTAACTAATACAACCATCTGGAAGTCCAATTTTAGAGAATCTAACACCCACTTCTGACTTCCAGTGGGCACTAGGCATGGACATGGTGCACAGACATACATGCAAGCAAGTAGATAAAATTTAAAGTAATATATCCATTTAAAACTATATGGTTCAGTGAGTTTTAATACATGTATAGATTCGTGTGGGCCAGTGAGATGGCTCAGCTGGTAAAGGCACTGGCTGTCAACCACCCAGAGTTCCATCCCTGGAATCCACATATCCAAAGGAAAGAACCAACTCCCATAAGTTGTCCTCTGGTATCTACCCATGCCCCATGTGTGTTTTTTAAAATGTATACATGAATGTGACTATCATAGCTGAGACATAGAACCTTCATATGACTCTTGATTTTTCTCTGTGCTATATGAAGAATGAGAATTTTGAGGGGACAAAAATCTGTGAGGAATCCTGCACTGTCCACAGGCAGTAAGCATATCCTTACCGTTCTCATGACACAAGGATAGTCTTCCATTGTCTTTGAGCTATATGTTGTAATCAATAACAAAATGACTTGTCTATCACAATGTAAATTCTGTCTCATTTCATAGAAATTCAGTCGCTGTCTACCTTAAGTACAGAAGAAACCAGTTCTGCCTTCATGTTTCTAATATTGCTTATCTGAAAATTTCTTCTATATCTGACTTCCTCATTAATGAGTTAGACTCTTTGCATGTTTTATTTCTATAAGAAAATCATGATGCTGGACAGTAGTGGCACATGCCTTTCATCTCAGCACTTGGGACGTAGGGGCAGGCAGATGTGTGGGTTCCAGGCAGCTTGGTTTACAGAGTGAGTTTCAGGACAGATAGAGAAACCCTGTTTCAAAAAACTACTGCTCCAAAAAAAGTTTAGCTTTATGTGCATGCATGTTTTGGCTGCATTTATGTCCATGTGCCACACACATGCCTAGTGCCTGCAGTGGCCAGGAAAGGGCATTGGATCCTCTGGAACTGGAGTCACAGTTGTGAGCTCCCACGATTGTGCTGGGAATTGGACTTGGGACATCTGGAAGAACAGCTGGTGCTCTTAACCATTGAGCTATCTCTCCAGCCTGTGTTTTTTAGTGAATTTTTTTTTAGACACTCTTTTTTTTATATGGGTACACTGTAGCTGTCTTCAGACACACTGGAAGAGGGCATTAGATCCCATTACAGATGGTTGTGAGCCACCATGTGGTTGCTGGGAATTGAACTCAGGATCTCTGGAAGGACAGTCAGTGCTTTTAACCTCTGAGCCATCTCTCCAGCCCTTTAATTAGATTATTGTACATGAATGTTAAAGGTCATCAATCCTTCCCACGTGGGTATCCAGTTGCTCCAATGTTCCTAGTTGCAGCAATTGTAATTTCTTCACTGAAGTACTTTGGATCTCTTGTTGTAATTGTGACCATATCACACTTCTTTTTCAACTATTACATTTTTTCTAGCCAGCAAGATAGCTCAGCTGGTAAAGGCATTTTGCCACTAATCCTGATACTGTGTGTCACTTGGATCCCATGTGATAGAAGAATGACTTCTACAAACTGTCCTCTGAACACTTGTGAACTGGCGTGAACACACACACGAGTATAAATATGAAAGAACAAAATATAAACACCTTTTCATTGTTTTCCCCACAGATAAAATAAACACCTTCCCCCACCTGCAAAGACAGTGTAGCTGCCCTAGCCTCTCTAGCCCCCAAACTAGCAACAATCCTCCTGCCTCTACTTCCCAACTGAGGTCTTTTACTGTATTCCACTTCCTCAGGCAAGTTTTCTGTTACCACTTCTGGGTTTTCTGCTCAAGCCCTTAGCAGTCTGTAAGGTATGTTCATATACTTGTTTACCAGAGTAGGAGCCACATCTGTCTTGCTGGCCCAGTGTACTTGCTGGCATCAAGGTTGTTAATGCCTGATATTTATTGGTTGAATGAATAAAGGCAGGTGTCTATTTCTAAATATTTTATTAGGGCAAAACAATATTTGTGGGATGATTCATCTCAAGTAGGTCCGCTTTAATTCTTAACATGCACTCTGAAAAATGATATCCTCCACAACCTACTATGTATAGCTTCACAGTCACCCAATATAAAATGAAATTAAAAAAAATTTCTGGCAAGAAGGTAGGAGGCTACAGAAGAGTGATTATTTGTAAGACATTACTAAAATTGAAAATCTCACATTCCCAGATGATAAGAACATTACAATGAAAAGGGTTAGCATCACAGTACACCTTGAAGACTCCAGCCTACAGTAACTTGGCCAGTGGAGAAACATGGATCAACAAGACCACCCTAACTGAACTCTCCCATAGACACCTGTTCTCTTTTCTTTCCCCCATCCCTTGTTGTTAGCTGCCTTTGTACAGAGAGGGATCATCAAGACTGTGGGCATGCAGGCTAAACAGGAGAGGTTCTGAGTCTCGTGAAGATCGAACCAGCAAGGAAGCTCTGAATTACAACTATTGGCTAAACTAAACCTGACACACAATGTCAAAGGGGAAGGTAACTCCACCACACTTGGTGGTACATCCTCTACTCAGTTGGAAGGCCTACGCAAGTCAATCAGGATCTGTACAAGAATTACCTGGGACTTGTGCTGGACTCTGAGTTAACTGGAGTTCCTTGAACATGGAAAGAGTGCAGAGGGCACAGGAAACAGACACTGAGCACATCAGGGTGCTGTTCTTGCAAGCACCTTTCATTCCATCTCCGACAACTGCTCCCAAAGAACAATGCTTTAGGCATTGCTTCTTTAAAACAGTGACACGGGACAAGAGCCACAGCATTCTTCAGGGTTGGCTTATTAGAAATCATCACACTAGAATCAGTAACAGTTTAAGGCCATACCAGAGTAAATAAAATCTTGCCCTCAGCTCCTCTCCACCCACACCAAGCTGCTCCTAAGGGTGAACTGTGAATGTGAATCTTCAGACTCCACAAAGATGAAAATGCTCATCATTAGGGCTTAAGCAGGTTCCTGTGTTTCCTTCCTCCTAGAAACCTTTCAATTTGCAGCAAAAATCATCTTGGAAGACAGAAGTCACTGAAAACTACAGCAGAAATAGCCTCTGGTAGGCAAGATGAATATCACTGTGGGCCTTTCTCTGTACCCTTTCTGCTGGCTAGAAGCCCAAGCACACATTTCATGTGGATAAGGCAGAGGGGAGGAAGGACATGCTTTTCTCCACATGGAAGGTATTTTGATTGACTGGCTTAATGGATTAAGATGCCTGCTGGGCACTGAGTTTATTGTTAGGCAAGGAATCACATCCATAGGGTCTGGAACTGGGGGCGGGAGGGGCTATAGATTCTTTGATAAACTGCCAAACAGAATCCTGATTTTCATAAACCCCTCCTTTCACAGCCCCAGGCTAAGATGATTTTACCTGTAAGAAATACAGCTCCTGATCAACACAGCACAGGGAGGAAAAAATCACTGCTCTCCTTTTCCTAACTAACCTCATACTGGAAGTAAAGAGACACAAACACCTAGCAGTGTCTTAACTAGTACACTGGAAGAACAGCATCCTGACATTAAGTTATAGCAATCCATCACCCCCCCCCCCTTTTTTGTTCTTTCTGGTGAGAGTCTCACTTTGTAACACAGGATAATCTAGAATTCTAGAAAATATTCTTACTTCTGTATTCCGAGTATTGGGATTACAGGTGTGCACCATAATCATAGCAATCATTTATTTACATTTCTATGGGTTTTGTCAAAACACTGCAATTAGGTAGATTCATCAATTTGGAAAAACAGGTGGTAGCAGGTCATCATTTCCCACTTTGCCCAAAAAGGCAAAAAATCTAAGCCAGATGTTTATCCTGCTTTTTGCAAGATATATTACACACCAGGTAATGTGGCTATATCTTGCCAGTCATCAGAGACTCAGATATGGATGCCCTTAACTAATAAGAAACACTGAAGTGCATGGTTGTGCATGCAAAGAGCAGGCTGTCTGCCCTACAGCTCCCCAAACGCTGCACTAGCACTTGTCAGTCTTCTCTGGAGGCCAAATCCCAACCACTAAGATACAGAATGAATAAAGGATCAGAGGCAGATCTCTATATGAGGATGCTCTACCCTTCAGCCTATGAGAGGGTGTGGGCCACAAATGAGGCTACAAGGAAGAAGCTCATTTTGCAAGTCTGCCTGGGCCAGAAGAGTTGAAGACAGAATGAAGAGCAGAAGAAGGCTAGTTACTCCCCCCCCCCAATTTAAATTTTTTTTACCTTTATTTTATGTATTTTGCCTACATGAATGTCTATGTGAGAATGTCAAATCTTGGAGTTACAGACAGTTGTGGGCTGCCATGTGGGTACTGGGATTTGAACCTGTGTTCTCTGAAAAAGAAGTCAGTGCCTCCAACTGCTGAGCCATTTCTTCCATGGATTCTTTAAACAAGGAGACTATAAAGGGGAGACATTCACTACCCTTGCCCCTTGGGCCAAATCTTCTGCATGATTCTGGTTATCTTCTGGTTCCTGATGTGAGCTGTGAAGTGGGTCTTACAAACACGAAATGAGTAAGGACAATGACAAATGAAAAGCATGAGGCAAAGTACAGTTGGCTTTGGTGGTGATGGCTGACTTATGTATGCTTGAATCTATTTAAGGCCCAGATCTCTACTCACTCTCAAATGTCAGACTAATACACACTCTCATCTCCCCTGAATTTTGGGTAATCACCTCTGACATGACAGGGCCAGAGATTTCTATTACAGATTTACAATTAACCAGCCACATACAGTGTATAAACCATTTTGTCCTCTAGAAAGTAGAGCTCATGGGTAATCACAGGGATTTTGTCTCTGCATAACAAACAAACAAACAAACAAGAAAAAACCAAACAAACAACAATAACAAAACAAAAAACTTTAACTTAGTTACATTTAGGCTGAAATAAACTTTGCACCAACCAAGAGATACATACAGAAAAATTCAGATGCCTGTAATAGCATTTAATTTGAAGTGATTTTATGTAAGCTAAGAAACTAGCAGGCATGGTCATTGCTTAAGGTTTGTTACTTTTGCAAGTTCTATGTCTGTATCATTAAATAGTAAGTGCTGTGCAAAATACTTGGTATTCCAGTGGGATTCTCCAGGGGGAAAGTGAGGAAGGTGTCTTTATAAGACTTAGTTATGGAATCTTTTTATACACGTAGTTCTTGCTTCTTTCTATGGTTCTATGTGGTCGTGATATCTTTCTCTCTCTCTCTCTCTCTCTCTCTCTCTCTCTCTCTCTCTCT